GGAGGCATTGACCATCTAAAGTACCCCAGGGTAGAGTCATTAGGATGTTGAAGTTCTGGAAGAAAATTCTGAGAAATCTTAGTAGAGACATCATAATATGTTTTTATATATTCAGAGAGCCATTATATAGGTGAGGAAGCAGATATATTTTTTCTTTCTCTAAAAAATTAAAGTAGGACAGTTTGTAGGAGCTACCCAGAAATAGATTTGATCTCTGCATCATAAAAAAACTCTATTCGTATGGCCAACAATGATTAGACCTCAGAAGTGGTAACCTCCCTTTCAGAAACAATCAGAGGCTGAGCGATCCTTACAAATTCAGTAGGCAGATTCATCACTGAATAGAGGTTCATCATATTCTAAAGTTTTTTTCTAACTCAGAGTTATTGTATCTATTGTATCTCAGAGTAACTAACTCTGATATTGCATATTAATTACCTCATTTGTTCTACAGCATCATTTTAAAAGAGAAATGGTGCAGGTAGGAACTTTGTGGTAGGAGAATCAAACCAACAGAAAATAAGAAATTTGTTTAGAACCTAACCTATTCATTTTTTTGGTTCATTCCCTCGGTGCTACCAAAACATAATTTAAGGCATAATAACTCATTATGTTGTTGGAAGACCCAGAATTAGAGCCCGAGTCCTATGCATTTTCCATTAAAGAATAATAAGTGAAACAGTCATGAAAATCTTGAGATAGTTAGTGTTGTTGCTATCTGATTGTTTGACTTACTACACATAGAAAAAGGTGCTTTTTGGGCCGGCCCTGTGGCTTGGTGGTTAAGTGCGCGCGCTGCGATGCTGGTGGCCCGGGTTCGGATCCCGGGTGCGCATCGAGGCACCACTTCTCCGTTCATCCTGAGGCCGAGTCCCGCATACAGCAACTAGAAGGATGTGCAGCTACGACACACAACTATCCACTGGGGCTTTGGGGGTAAAAAATAAAATAAATAAAATCTTTAAAAAAAAAAAAAAAGAAAAAGGTGCTTTTTTTTCTTATTACTAAAGCAAAGTAGAAAAATTTACTGTGCTTCAAAGAACAGTCTAGTTACTATTGTTATCATTATTGTTAGTGATAAAATAATATAAAAATGGATTCTTATCTAGAACAGATGTAATATATCTCCATTCCCTAGTAGCAAAGATTGTCATGGAATTCTGAGTAAAAGAAGTATGATAACGAACTTTGTATAGAATCTTATTGTTTTAATCAATTCCAACATATGCTATGATCATTTTGGAAATCATTATACAGAAAGTAGATTATGCTGTTAGCACGGGGAGGGAAGCTTCACTGTTCACTCTGTAAGTAGCCTGGGATTCAAAAGAATTGTTTTCTCAGTACCTTTCTATGGAAATAGATTGTGAGCAAAATCCAAGACAACTTTAAAGCTTTCCAGAACAGCTAGATTTAAAAATTACTCTGAAGCCTACGTTTAAGGGGAGACAGGAAAGTACAAGAGAATTGCCTAACAGCATATTCCTGTGTAGCATGTTTCACTTAGAGCAAGCTGGTTTTTTGCTTGTTTGTCTTAAATGCTTTGACATGGGCAGCAGATGAAGATGGAATGGGTTGAGAGAACTACTCCTGGAAAGACCTTCCCAGATAGACTGATAAGGCTTAAATGAGAATGTGCAGGGCTCCTGCCATGACTTGCCTTATCAGTGACCAGCGCATTGGAGCTTAGCCTCTAGAATGTCAGCACATATACTTTAATAAACACTCTGAGTAGCTCCACATAAAGCAAATACTCTGTTTGAAAGTAAGCCAAGATAAAAAGATACAGAAACCTCAAGCAGTACAGGGTGTGCTTTGTTTGGTAAAATGAATTTAACCTTAGTTGTAGGAGGACATATTAACTATGATTTGCTAGAATAACTCATTCAGTCATTTGAATGATGACCAGGCATGTGCCTTCACAGAATTCATAGCACAGTAAGAATAAAAGATTATGATAAAGCTAAAAATTTAAGCACTCTGTGTAACCTCTGTAATCAGTGCAGATGGGGAATGGGAGTGCTACTTCAATTCATGTATGGTGACACACTGACTGGCTCTTAGCAAACTTTTACCTATTTCTATTCATTTTGACTGTATTCCTCCTGATGTTGTGATGCCACATCCTCTGTCACTGCTTCCTTTCTCTTTGCTTTCACCTTGAATATTGGCTTCCAAGTGCATTCTACCCTTTCCTCACCCTTCTCCTCACCCCTCACTTTTCCTTGGGCAACTTCATTTCAGGCTCTTCACAGCTAACCACATGCTAATGACTCCCAGCTTTAACCTCTCTCTTCTAAGCTTTAGACTCATATTTCCAACTATCTCCTGAACATTTTTTTTTTTTTTGGTGAGGAAGATCGGCCCTGAGCTAACACCTGCCAATCCTCCTCTTTTTGCTGAGGAAAGCTGGCCCCGAGCCAACATCCATGCCCACCCTCCTCCACTCTTTTACATGGGACGCTGCCACAGCATGGCCTGGTTTGTCAGTGCGTGCCCGGGATCTGAACCCAGGTCACCAGCAGTGGAGCACATGCACTTAACCACTACGCCAGGGGCTGACCCCTCTCCTGAACATTTTTATCTGAATGTGCTGTGGACCCCTTGATTTCAGCAGATCATATCTGAATGCATTTTGTTTGTCAAAGCTTTTACATTTATTTTATCTCTTGGTTAATGACATGCAAGCTACCCGGTAGCCTAAGCCATGCTTTCAGCCTTTTTTAGTCTCAACTCATCACAGCTAATTAATTAATCATTAAGTTGTATAATTTCTGCCTCCTTAAGTTATTTCAAATTTGTTTCCTCCTCTCCATTACCACTCCCATCACCTCAGTTCACATTTTCAACATTTACAAGAATTTCTATGATCTTCTCTAAAGCTGGTTCTTGTTTTCCAACTCATCCTTCACTGTGTAGGCAGAGAAGTCCTTTATAAATACCGATTTGATTGTGTCACTCCCCTACTTAAAACTTTCAGTGACTTCATATTGTCTGCAATTGTTACAATCTTGAGTATCTCCAAGGATTAGGCAAATAGTCTATACAAGTGAAGTGGGCCAAATGTGAGACAATAAGGGAGAATAGGAGAGTGCATTCCTGTCTAAAGAAATTCATATTCAGAATTTTTAAAAACATGTGACAAACTTATCTGAGGATCTGTTGTTGCCTATGGGTCTCCAGTTAGCGCAGCCAAGTCTAAACCACTGAGCATGGCATATGCAATGTTTCTTTGACATCAGGTATGTCCTTGAGATGAACAACTTGGAACCCTCAGCTATTGCAGAGACTGACGTAACTACTGAGTCACGTTTTGTTGTTTTGTTTCTAGGTCAAAACATATCAGAATAAAGAGTATGAGTTTATTATTGTAAATACCATTGTCTTGATTTTGGAGGCCGTTGGAGCGCAATGGAAAGTTTGTGGGCTTTGGAGTCAGCGTTGACCTAGGTTCACTTACCAGTTCTGCCACATATTAGCTGTGTGATTTTGAGCTAGTCATTTAGTGACTTTGAACCCAAATTTCCTGCTCTGTTTAAAAAATAAAAAAATAAAAACTTTCAGGATTGAGAGTACCAAATCAGATAACGGCTTTAAATTATCCAGCTCAATGCTTGGCACATAGTAACTCTTCAGTAAAAGACAGCATCCAGACAGGTAGGAAATATTTGAGAAGTGGCAATAAGTGTGCAAAAATCTAATTCCCCCAGCTTCCTTTTTCCCAGCAATTGTATGTGTGGCCTAAAGATGAGCAAACCTGTTGGAAGCCATTATCAAGTAAGACAGACAATTGGAAGCTGACAGACACATGATTCACGCAGGCGACTACAAACCAGGAGCTTACCAGCCTAGCTGGCTAGCTAGCTGGAAATGGAATTTAAGCCTAGAAGTTTGCTATTGACAAATTTATGAGCAAGATGGGAATACAGACTCTCTACAACTACAACTATGCATAATGTACTAAGCCTTTTTTTACTTTTTTGTCTACATATAATCTTTAAATTTTTTTAGTAAAAATGATATTAACTGAAGATTTAGTTCAATAGTATTAGGATATATAGGATATTTTGTTTTGGTTTATTCTCTATGGCTATATAAATCTGAAGCACCAAAGGAAGGAAATAAACAACTTAGTTTTCTTTACCAGAACATTTAGGATGGTAAGGAAGGAGGGCTGTTTATATTTTATTCTAATGCGCAAATACATTAATTATATTTTGATTGATCTAGGAACACTTAAAAAGTCTTGAAGAGCGTTCCTCAATCACTTAAGGGAAAGAAAATATACCATCTTCTCAAGCTTTGTATTTTTCATTTTGTGTTTTAAACTTCAGCTTAATTTTAACATTTAAGTATACTTAGCTCGGTACTTTGTGTGCCCGTCTGACACCGTTGAAATAGGGGACTGAGTAGCTGACAGTATGCTTTTCTGCCTTACCACAGAGCTATAGCAATAATGAGTACACTAGTGTAGATAATAACCTGTTGGCAGAATGACATCCGCTGAACTCCTGATTGTACTTACAATGGAAAGACTAGAAAGAACAAAGTAGAAAGCTGGCTTGTTTTAGACAGACTTGGAGTTGCAGCTTCTTCCTTTGCAGTAGTATGTCTCACCCCAAACAGACTTTCATGCCCAGATAAATAATACTATATTTAAGTAACACAGCAACAACATTAATATTATACAGCTAAGAGGATGGTTTCTAAGCAAAGCTAAGTATTTAAGAGAGTGTTGAAACACAAAGATAGGCAAGTGCTATCGTTACTGGCCATAGTAAAATTCTCTTTTGGTTTTAAGGAGTATTGCTAAAAGATAGATCTAGATAAATATGGTGGCGTTCTGTAACTTGATACTACTTTTTAGTGTTTAACCACCTGTTTTTCTTAAAGGAATGATTTTTTATTTTTGGTTAATGCCTTCTAAATATTTTTCTTTCTCCTTCCTCCCTCTCTTCCTCCTTCCCTCCTATTCTTCCTTCCTTCCTTTCTACTTGCAGCTCCTCAGAGAAATTTTGAAATTGCCTTCAAGATGTTTGATTTGAATGGAGATGGAGAAGTAGACATGGAGGAGTTTGAACAGGCAAGTTGTCCTGGAAAGTTCCTTGAAATACATTAATATTTCACACATTTTCATGTGCCTTGGAGTTTCTTTGGCCTTCGTCAGTATACTCAGATGCTATCCAGTTCTTGAAGTACCTAATGTATTATCTTTCAAAAATATCCTTACTTTTAACAGGTGGGGGTTTTTTTCTTTGTTTTCACTCCGAATGTATGGAATTATTTGAGCATATGATTAAGGTCAAGGTTGCTCTGATACTTCAACATGAATTAGACTATAATGCTGAGAGGCTAAGTTATGGCCTAAGGTCAATCATATCTTCAGTCAACATTTATTAAACAGCTCCTTTGTGCCAGACAGTTCCAGAATAGGAGGATGAATGACATATGTTCTGAAAGAATTTCTATAAGAGAAGGATAAATGATACCATGCCTTTGACCGTAGCAGGTTCCTGCCGTAGACATGTACAGTTTCTTCTGAATCCTAGGAAAAGATTACATTTCCATAAATTTTCTCTCATTGGAGGGCCATGTTACCTCTCCAGATACAATTATTATGATTGTCAGAAGTAGTTTCAAAACATAAAAAAATATATATGTGGGAGAAAGCATTTTTGTATTCAAAATGAGAAAAGGAGGAAAAAGGAATTGGGAGAAAGTATCAGATAATAGTATATCTTTAAATAAGAGATGCACAGAGTCAAATATTTTAAAACATCGAGAGACATTTATTCAAATTGCTATCCTATGTCCATCTAATAACTTCACTTTTCCATAATCCTGCATTTTACTGGTATTTCCAGGTGCTCAAATGATTATAAATAGAACTTATTTTAATATTTTTTATTTTGTTTTATTTAAGATAGAACTATTTTATTTTTTATTGAGATGTAATGGACACACTACCATCGTATTAGTTTCAGGTGTATAACATAATGATTTGCTCTATGTATATATTGCAAAATGATTACCATAATAAGTTTAGTTAACATCCATCACCACACATAGTTACAAATTTTTTTGTGTGTGATGAGAGCTTTTAAGGTCTACTTTCTTTTCAACTTTCAAACATACAGTACAGTTTTGTTAACTATAGTCACCATGCTGTACATTACAACCCCAGGACTTATTTGTCTTATAACCGGGTACCTTTAGACCACCTTCACCTATTTTCCCATCCCCCACCTCTGGGAACCAGCAATCTGTTCTCCATATCTATGAGTTTGGCTTTTTTTTAAGATTCCACATATAAGTGAGATCATACTGTATTTGTCTTTCTCTATCTGACTTATTTCACTTAGCTTAATGCCCTCAAGGTCCATCCATGTTGTTGTCACAAATGGCAGGATTTCCTTCTTTTTTATGGCTGAATAATATTTCGTTATATGTATACCACATTTTCTTTATCCATTTGTTTTCAGGTCTTGGCTATTATAAATAATGCTGCAGTGAACATGGAGGGTGCAGATAGCTCTTCAAGATAGTGATTTTGTTTCCTTCAGATAAATACCCAGAAGGGAAATTGCTGGATCATATGGTAGTTCTTTTTTTAACTTTTTGAGGAACTTCCATACTGTTTTCCATAGTGGCTGCACCAATTTACCTTCTAACCAACAGTGAACAAGCGTTCTCTTTTCTCCACATCCTCACCAACACTTGTTATTTCTTGTCTTTTTTTCTTTTTTTTTGGTGAGAAAGATCAGCCCTGAGCTAACATCCATGCCAATCCTCCTCTTTTTGCTGAGGAAGACCGGCTCTGAGCTAACATCTATTGCCAATCCTCCTCCTTTTTTTTATCCCCAAAACCCCAGTAGATAGTTGTATGTCATAATTGCACATCCTTCTAGTTGCTGTTCTTGTCTTTTTGATAATAGTCATTCTAACAAGTGTGAGGTCATATTTCACTGTGGTTTTGATTTGCATTTCCTTGGTAATTAGTGATTTTGAGCATCTTTTCATGTTCTTGTTGGCCATCTGTATGTTTTCTTGGCCATCTATATGTGTTCTTTGCAAAAATGTCTCTTCACATCCTCTGCCCAATTTTTAATCAGATTGTTTGGTTTCTTGTTATTGAGTTGTATGAATTCTTTACATATTTTGGATATTAACCCCTTTATCAGATATATGATTTGCAAATATTTTCTCTCAAAATTTTGTTGATGGTTTCCTTTGCTGTGCAGAAGCTTTTTAGTTTGATATTGTTCATTTTTGCTTTTGGTGCCTTTGCTTTTGGTGCCAAATCCAAAAATAATCACCAAGACTGGTGTCAGGTAGCTTACAGCCTATGTTTTCTTCTAGGAGTTTTATGGTTTCAGGTCTTATAGTCAAGTCTTTAGTCCATTTTTGAGTTAATTTTTGTGTATGATGTAAAATAGTGGTCCAGTTTCCTTCTTTTGCATGTGGCTGTCCAGTTTTCCCAACACCATTTATTAAAGAGGCTGTCCTTTCCCCCATTGTATATTCTTGGCTCATTTGTCGTAAATTAATTGACCATATATATGCATGAGTTTATTTCCAGACTCTCTCTTCCATTGATCTCTACGTCTGTTTTTATGCCATTACCATACTGTTTTGATTACTGTAGCTTTGTAATATAGTTTGAAATCAGGAAGCGTGATGCCTCCAGCTTTGTTCTTTCTCAAGATTGCTTTGGCTTTTTGGGGTCTAATTTTTTTTTATATTTTCAAAGAACCAACTTTTGGCTCTGTTAATTTTCTCTATGGTTTATGTGTTCTCTAATTAATTGATTTCTGCTCTCATTTCTTTCTTTCTGCTTATTTTAGGTTTTCCTTACTCTTTTATGAGTCTCTCAAGATAGTATCTTTGGTCATTGATTTCAGAATTTTCTTCTTTTCTAATATAAGCATTTAAAGCTATACGCTTCCCTCTAAGCACTGCTATGGCAGCATCCTACAAAATTTGATATGTTGTATTTTCATTATCACTTAGTTTGAAATATTTTCTGTTTCCCATGTGGTTTCCTTTTTGATCCATGGATTGTTTAGAAGTATGTTGTTTAATTTCCAAGTATTTGGAATTTTGTTTTTTAGGTATCTTATTGCTACTAATTTCTAATTTAGTTCCATTGTTCTCAGAAAACATACTCTGCATGATTTAATTCTTTAAAATTTTTTGAGACTGGTTTTATGGAACAGCATATGATCTATCCTGGTAAGCATCAATCTGTCTTTTTAAAGAATGTGTATTTTGCGGTTGCTGCGTATAGTGTTCTATAAATGTCAGTTCTATCAAGTTGGTTGATAGTGTTGTTCAGATTCTACATCCTTACTGCTTTTTTTTTTAACCTAGTCATTCTAGCATTTGTTGAGAAGGGGTTGTTAAAATCTCCAACTATAATTATGCAATTCTTTGTTTCCATTTAATTCTGTCAATTTTTTTTTTTTTTGAGAGAAAGATTAGGCCTGAGCTAACATCCATTGACAATCCTCCTCTTTTTTTGCTGAGGAAGATTGGCCCTGGGCTAACATCCATGCCCATCTTCCTCTACTTTATATGGGATGCCACCACAGCATGGCTTGACAGTGGTGCATCGGTCTGCGCCCAGGATCTGAACCTGCAAACACTGGGCTGCCAAAGCGGAGCACGCAAACCTAACCAGTATTAGGGGCCAGCCCCTAATTCTGTCAGTTTTTAGCTTTATGTATTTTGAAGTCCTGTGCACATTCTGATTGTTATGCCTTCCTGATGAATCAGTCCTTTTATCATTATGAAGTGTCACTCTTTATCTTCAGTAATACTCTTTGTCTTAAAGTCTACTTTATGTGATATTGACATAGCAACTCCAGCTTGCTTATGCTTACTATTTGCATGATATATCTTTTTTCCATCCATTTACTTTAAATCTATCAGTGTCTTTGTGTTTAAAGTACACCTTTTATAAACAGCATATAGTTAAGTCTTGCTTTTCTATCCACTCTGACAATCTTTGCCTTTTAATTGCAATATTTAGTCCATTAACATTTAACATAATTATTGATTTAATTGGATTTAGATCTACCATTTTTGATGTTTGTTTTCTCTTTGTTCCTTCTGATTTTTGTTCGTCTAATCTATGTTCCTGCCTTCTTTGGGATTAAATAAATATATTTTTAAGAACTCTGATTTAATTTATCTGGCATTTTAGCTATACCTCTTTGCATTATTTTTATAATTGTTGCTCTAGGGATTACAACATACGTTCTTAAATATACATAATGTACTTAGAATTAATTTTGTACTACTTCATATAAAATGTAGAAATTTTGCAACTGTATAGTTCTGTTCACCCCTTCTCTATCCTTTATGCTATAGTTGTCCTATGTATTACATCTACATAAATTATAAACCCCATAATACATTGTTAATTTTGCTTTAATGGTCATGTATTTTTTAAAAGAAAATAAGAGAAAAAATCATTTGTATGTTCATTCACGTATTTACCATTTCCAATGCCTTTATTCCTTCCTGAGATCCTAGTTTCCACCTGGTATCATTTCCCTTCAGTTGGGAAGACTTCCTTTAGCATTTCTAGTAGTGCACGTATGTTGGCAATGAATTAATTTGTATCATTGTTATTTTTTGAAAGAAAATCTAGATATAGAGTTATAGATATAGACGTAAAATTCTCAGTTGTTTCACCACTTCTGATTCCTTCTTATGAAAAGTCACTGGTTATTTGAATCATTGTTCCTGTATGTGTAATATGTTGTTTTTCTCTCTCTGCTTTCCAGATTTTTCATTATCTTTGGTTTCTAGAAATTTGTTTATGATTTGCCTCAGTGTGGTTTTCTTTGTATTTAGCCTTCGTGGTATTTTATGAGCTATTTGTGTTTATAAATTTATGATTTTTATCAAATTTGAGAAGTTTCTGGCCATTAGTTCTTTAAAAAAATTTTTTTGGCCCCCATTTTCTCTCACCTCTCTCTCTGGGACCGTAGGCTATTGCCCCACAAATCTCTGAAACTCAGTTTGTTATTTTTTTCAATCCTTTTTCTCGCTGCTCTTCAGACTGTATAATTTCTA